AATAGAAAAAACGCCAAGGGGGATGAATACTTTTGCGAGGCACTGTAAAAACATACTTTGTTTGCTTGCTGTTTGAGGTGCTCTATAGCTTATTAGTGGTGGTGTGTTAAGCCAATCACAAATACTATCAGATCTCTAAATGGACACATTAATATGCCTACATTTGCGCGCAGGACAGGTAGCCTATAGGCCTACTTATTTGAGTAATCAGGTACACGTCCTTACTCAACAATGACAGGAGCGCTCCAAACAAAAGACAATGTCAAAACATTGTATTTTGAGAGAAAGCCAAGAGTGTGCAAAGCTGTCATCAAGGCAAAGGGTGGCTATTTGAAGAATCTCAAATATAAAATATATTTTGATTTGTTTAACACTTTTTGGTAACTACATGATTCCATTGGTGTTATTTCATAGTTTTGATGTCTTCACTATTATTCTACAATGTTGTCCCATGATGGTAGTGACTGCCCATTACTGCTTATCACTTATTAACCATCATTTATTCACATTGCTTTACACATTTCAGTTGTTGTGTATATTACATTTGTTTTATTTGATGACTTCATTATTTTATTCCAAGTCATCATCTCATCTCTATAGAGCTGCTGCCTATGCTGTCTGACAAAATCACTATTTTGTAGTTCTTCAAATAAATAAGACATATTTTCAGGTAGAGATAACGCACGAAGCAACAGCTTCTCTCTATATCACCTCATGATCGCGCATTCTTCTGTCTCTTCTGTAGCAGGCGTGAAAGAAACACAGACTGGACTAGTAGATGTGCAATGGATTATGGACATTTTAGTTAATTACCACATTTGATGTGCTAAACTATGTAGAATATTGGCCTGTTGGAAACTACAACTCCCTACTACATTGCACAGTTCAGGCTGGATCTGATTTATCTCTATATACGAAATGTTATTCAAATAATTTAACCCAACGTCTATCAATCAGTTGTTTGGTTAATGTTCAGCATTACCCTTGGAGACTTGATGCATTCTAGAACGTCTTTATAAGTTGATGTTGCACCCAGATCTGCAGTGAAACAAGCTCTAGTTAGACTCTGGAGTTAATTTTTTAGCTACAGTGAAACCCACCTTAAAATGTCAACCATAATTCACAGCCAAATCGAATGTAGACTATTTGTTTGGCTGGTTTATATGTAGGCTCTACCCTTAAAAGTATTGTGTAATAACAGGCCCACCAATAACGAAAGACACCCACCTGAATCAACTCTTTCTTTGTTAAAAAAGCATCATTTGAGAATGGAGATGAATTTCACTCCAAGAAAACGGATCAAGGGCAATTCCAGAGCACATTCAACAGGTCCCATCATAGTCAGTGCAATATAAATGCATTCGTGTTTGTGCTGCGTTTCCTGCTTACATTTAGATTCCCACTGGTCACAAACTGGTTGAATCAACGTTGTTTACACGTCATTGCAATGAAATTACGTTGAACCAACGTGGAATAGACGTTGAATTTAAGTATGTGCCCAGTGGGCTAGCTACCTCTGCAAAACGCTTGCTTCTTTCTTTGTTTATCAGGAGTCTATGCCTTTTTGCCTCAAGTAGGATGATATCGCCAACCCACACCTGCTACTTCAACCCACTATACACAACAAATAAATAGGCGTCGTCAATTTCAGAGTCCCGGTGACTTATCTAAGCACCCTCAACAACAAAAATACTGATAACAAGTGCTGCCACGGAGAAATAGAGACAGAAACAATGTAGCATTAAACTGTCCAAACTCACAACCCCATCGTCTGTCGAAGATCCAACTCCATCATGGATTCAGGAATCAAAATATAATTTGCACAAACTATCTACATCTACGTGCAACGGACATCCATGATAATCATCAATCGGCTTTAATCAGCTGGGTGCTGATTATACTAGTTTGTAGAGTCGCTAAATAGGAATAATCCCAGGAATAGCGGTATTATTACGAAGTAAGAAAGGTTAACAAGTATCGTTTTGCATTGTGGAATTTTACTTCAGAATAGCTTCTAGAATCCCTCAATTATCCACACCCGGTTTATGTGGCACAGCGATAATCTAACAACAATGAACCCATGATAGAAAGAAGCCTGTCTGTAATGGCCACTAACCTCAGCATCCTCTGAGTGCAGCTATGGCTCGTGGCTATCTGAGCATCGAATCTTCACAATGGCCTTGCTGCACCTCCTAGTAAAAGGCTGCTTGACACTCGATGTGTTCCCCTGTGCCAACAGGTAGCTAGCTACCTAGTTAGAGAAATTAGCTGAATCTTAACTTTCTGAATCTGAAAGACAGGTGCAAAGCCTTAGGGATTTTTTTACATCATTTGTTCTTCTCGAGACTCGAATCGCACACGTGTCCCCCACTTGTCTTTCCTTCCAAGCACCTCTCCTCTCGACTTCAGTGGTGTCGTGACGCCTCTGCTGAGTAGGAGAGGAGGGAGGAGGTGGATGGGGGTCGACAGTCATTCATTAAGAACAATGCAATAGATTGACCACAGACAGTTAAACCAGTTGTTGATGGACCCGACCGAGTTTAGTTTTCGTTGAGACTCCCGACTGATATCACTTTATCCTCTGCATTCACATTCATGGTAACGATTCTGAGCTGGCTCGAGGCTCTTACCATCACAGCGGGTCGCTGTCAGTTCAGGACCTCCATAACGAAACGCCGTCAAGAACTTTAGCAACAAGAGTGTAATATTTCGAACTCTGAAAAACGATTATGGAAATGGGATAACTCACAATGTTCCGCGAGCCATTTTATTGATATTGTAGCTAGTTGGGTGATTTTCAGACCGGGATTCCCACTGCTAGTGACCACAGCTGAGTTTCACTGTCTCTCAGTCATTAGAATGACAGTTTGCTACCAGAGTTCAAAGCTCTGTGTGGAGCAAATACTTTCTATTTATGACGATACAATTATTGCATTACTTACCGAAGTGAAGCAAAATCCGTTGACTGAAAATTATAAGAGCGAAGTTATTAACTAGTTGACCATTGCGGTTCTACTGCTGCTGACGTGACGAATCGATGATGACACCAATTTGCATATCAGTTACTTGCTCTCTGATTGGACAGTTGAGGATTCGTTCAATTTTTATAATCTCAGATTACATTTGGAGCCGATTCCACATGGACAAAATGTCATATTCAATTTTGTGCCATAACTCCTCAAATGTAAAATAAAATGACAAATATTAGACAAAAATTGTTATAAAGGCATGACACACAAGATGGCCGCGGTAGGGCTGAAGCCAATCCGCGGAGGTTTTACTTTTACTACTCAAACCTGTAGTCTCCCGGATAATAATGTTGACTCTGACAGGCGAGATAGTGGGAAAATAACTTGGCAACCTGTCGTCAGTGTGTGGCGACCCCCGGTGGCTCGTGACGGTACTGCTAAACCAAGTCACTATGGTCTTGATGTGGAACCATAGAAGTCTATGCATGACAGCATGAGCCCAGAAATAGTGAAATGGTTTTCTAAACTCTGTGATCCAACCAGATTTTTCACACATACACCCACCTTCAAAGCGCTCCTTTTGATTAATCTGAAAGTTAAATCAAAGCACATGCCTTCATTTCTGAAAGTATTACTGGGGAAAGTTAATCATCAACCTTTTTGGCCTCTGCATGCCTCTGGAGGGCCCTCAATTGCTTCGCACCCTACATTCGGACCTTCCGACCACATTTACATTTACGTCATTTAGCAGAGGCTCTCATCCAGAGAGATTTACAAGTTGGTGCATTCAATTTATGATAGCCAGTGGGACAACCACTTTTTTTTTTATGGGGGGGTGGGGGAGGGGGGTAGAAGGATTACTTTCCAGGTATTCCTTAAAGTGGTAGGGTTTCAAGTGTCTCCGGGAGGTGGTCAGTGACTCCGCTGTCCTGGCGTCGTGGGGGAGCTTGTTCCACCATTGGGGTGCCAGAGCAGCGAATAGTTTTGACTGGGCTGAGCGGGAACCGTGCTTCCGTAGATTTACAGATCAAGCATAAATTGTCTGTCTTTGCGAACGTGTTAATTCATTTTTCAACACTAACGTCATTAGTGTTCAACTTGTTGGTCCTTGTTCTGTTCACCCCTGGTTATCAACTAATCTAGCTAGATAATTTACTAAGAGCAAAGATATGATCTGAAATTATGGTTGGAGGCACGGTATGGATGGTGTGAGGCATTTGCGGAGCCACGTAGAGGCAGGTGTTGCCAACTCCTCAGTAAGGAAAGTAGCTATTGGCTGTCCTAAAAGTCGCTAAATGACGTCATCACCTAATTTGTGTATTTGGCCATGTGCACGTAATTGTGATGGACGCTGTAGGAGAGGAATAGCGTCGTGGGAGAGACAAAAAGTGAGTAAAAAGCTGCGCGAGGACTGGGCCGCCTGTGAGTGCTTTGGGACAGGGGTGGGACGGCAGCACCCGCTGCTCGTTGAGAAGAGTAAGAACGATACGTGCTTTCACGTCAGTCTCCAATAACACCAGAAAAAGCCGCTAGATTTGTCGCTAGTCGCTTTTTTGAAAACGTGTCGTTAGAGGGGTCTGAATACTCGCTAAATATAGCGACAAAGTTGGCAACACCAAATTGAGCTCTGTAACAATGTGGAGGCCTCAATACTGCTCCACATTGGCTTGATTGGTTGACGGTAGGTGGGGGCGGGAGGTCCTGTATAAACAAAACTCACTTCCTTGACAACAGCTCTGCCCCACGAAGCACAAGAATGAATGAATGCCCTCCCTGACTTCTGCAGAGGCGTATCACTATAAATGCTACATGACCAATGCAGATGACGGATTGACCATGTAGCATCTTTAAGAGTTGAATACCCCTGGTATATACAGCCAACATAAGTAACCCATCCACCATTTAAAGCACATGACCCACACACCCTTATGTGATGAATAAAGGCTAATTATATCTCCACAGCTAGTCCATGGCAAACAGTGCTAACTAAATCACAACATGCATGTAAATTACATCACAAATATACAGTCATTGGTATGCATGGTTTAGTTTACTTCCTTTCAAAGAAAAGCTTTCAAAACTCATTGCCTTTACAGCACAAACTGATGACTGAGGTTTTGGTTCCACATAGGAAAGGTAAAATGAGAAACACACACACATTGTTTCGCCAAATTCGACAGTCCAGACCCCAGCATGTGTTTACTTCATTTCACAGCAATATAAATAGTGCCAAGTACCCAACAATGTCTGTTGAGGGCAGCCATTCCCACAGCAGCCATTTTTTATATTTACACATCAAACCTTTAATCAGCTCATTAAGAGTAAATAGAACATTCAAAAGGAAATTAAAAGCAATGTAAAGATACAGAAGTGATTATTGAACTTACCATATTCATTAAAACCATACTTGCCTGCAATATATATTACCCATCTGACCTCTATAGTTTACACAGTAAAGAGAAATAATAAAGATACTAAACTGCAATCCAAAAGATTGTAAATTGCCCCCACCCCACCCAAAGTGTAGTGTTGCTCTAATTTGACAGTAAAACAGGTTTAGAAAAAAATCACATAAAAGAATACTCAAGGTTCGAGTCCATCCTCAGTCTGAAGTCATTCAAAACATTCCAAGTCCCAATAATTAACAATAACTGTCCTGAGCCCACCTTAACAAGCAGTCATGAATCCATAGCCCACCCATACAGTATACCTATAATTAATGCAGATTTTTATTCTCGCCTTTCAACCAGCTTTGAGTGGTTATCTGTCTAGACCAAACCCAAGCATGTGCAAAGAGCAGAGAAAATAAAGGGAAAAAGCTCTGATTGCATTGAAGCCTGTGTTACTAAGACAACCAGTTGTCATTGTTGATTTACTTACATAAGATACACATTTTTAGTTCTATAGCTGTTTGAGCACAAGATGCCTATAATGCGTTTAAAGCTGAGCGCAAGTGTTGCAACGTAAAATGAAGTCCATTCAACTGGGTCAGTTCCTATTCACACGACTGAACGGCTGCTGAAGCTAGTCTGTGGCGTGGCATTCTGCTCTGCATCTTTCTCTAGTGGCTGCTGACCAGGACTGCAGGCTACAGGTTCAGCTCAGCTCAGGGGGGGGTTGTCGTCTTTGCTGAAGGGCTGTGTGGATCCGGGCTTCACCCAAGACAGTCCTGACACCTGCAGGCCCTTGTGGTGATCCTCAGGCCGTCTCTAGAATAAAAGAGACACATTACCACACTGGTCAGCTAGCACCATGGAAACAAATGCCAGCTCAGACAGCTTGACCAATCATAGCCCTGCTGGCTCTCATTCAGGTAAAACAAGCCCCTTTTGGGAGAGTGAGCTCAGCAGGAACCCAACTCAGAGCTTTGTGTCCTTTTACATAACTCTGAAAAGCACACTTCTGGGGTTTAGGAAAAACTAACTTTATGTGTGAACATCCGTTCCTTCGCCTCATCGTGGACCGCTGGGTTCCATGAAGAGAAACTGGAAAAAGCAGCAAAAAAAAAACACAAGAGAAACCAAGTTCACAACAACCATTTATTGCATCTCCTTTCATATGCTGCATAAGGTTTCTTATTGACATCAATTTTTAAAAAGACAATGTACAGACTGTTCGTGAGCTATGAGAATGATAAATGGAATTCCAGGAATGAGGAGCATTTCCTACTACCAACCTTATTGCATAAGGATCGTCCATCTTGGGCTGGTCGAAGAGGTGACTGTTGCATAGTTTGACGCTTTCTACCACCTTGCTTTTGAACAACTGAACATCCTTGTCGTACCTTAAACAGTGTGATTATACAAGCAATTTGCCAGTCACTACAGTGTGGAGTGATAATTACCCCCACCTGGCCACAATCTAAGTCATAAACTCAGGGAATTAAAATGAAACTGACTTATAACAGAATACCGTAACACTTCAATTAAACAGAGAGTCTCAAATAGCCGCCTGTCCCTTTTAATAGCCGGGCATCGCCACACATTTCAGCAAATTAACATGGGTCTAAATGAATTCTTTACGAGGTTACCATGGACACAACTGATATTCCCACAGTTGTGCATTAAAAACATTGCTCGCCATGGCACCACCAAACATAAAACGTCAAATTCAAGCGCTCCATGGTGCCGAAGCGCAAAATCAGTGGTGTATGATCGACAGCCTGGTCTTTGCAAGTCTGATCTGCGATGGATTTGTTGTGTTTATACTGGTCACAATTAACAGTGTGGTAGTCTTTTCAACATTTTATTGAGCATAAGCTGTGTGCATTAAGGAAATACACACCTGGCTCAAATAGAAGCCCGTCTCGAATAAGTACCAGTTATGTTCAGTGATTGAAGCAAATAAACGTCTGCGCTATTAATTGAAGTTTTACGGTACACAATAGGAGCACGCTTGTTCACCTATATAAACTGACCCAGACCACATGCGTACGCGTGACCCTGTACAGGAGGAAGAGAAGGAAGAAGGGTGTGAGGAGAAAGGGAACTAGGTTGAGACTTACAGAACAGCAGCTTCTGGGTTGAGTGGTTCCATGGTGTTGATCTTGTAGAACACTGTGCGTGCGTACATCAAGACCTGCCATATGTGGTTGTGATTACGCCTTCATGTCCACAGGGAGAGGGGAGACATTATGATTCTCTCAACATAATGGCAAACCAAATACAACTACAGTTACAGTAAATCCAGAAATATCACAAAGGCAATCCATGGGGCATAGGTTCATCTCAGACTAGTGAAATGCCCAACAGTAACACTGTTCAAACACCAGTAATGCACAACCAGTGAGCCATATACACCATAATGACAGACAGGTTTCCAGTGAGAATGTCATGGACAACTATCCCCATTCATTAAAAGGTACAGTGCTGAGCGGAGGCCCTATAAATCCACCTCCAGCTGATAGAGACTGAGGTTTAAGAGAAGAGTAAACCGCTCAAGGCTGTGTCACTGTCCAGCTGAACAAACAGGCCACGAGGAACAGAGCTGGAACAGCAGTCACAGTAAACACTGGGCCTTCATGTGACGCATGCCAGTTATAACTAAGGCACACTACAGAGAGCCCCACACAGTACACCTCTCAGGGACAGCACTGAATCACTATTTACCACCAGGACTTCACACTACAACATCCTGAGTGAACAGATATGAATCACAACATGATACTGTAACATTATCATAGATCAAAAGGTAGTAACTGCATTTAGCCCATCATGGGGATGTGTAGGTTGTGTGGTAGTGGCTAGTACATGGCGGAGCAGACATTACACTAATGGAAAAATATCAAGCCACATGTACCTGACAAACACCACTTCCAAATCTTCCTCATTCATTTGGATTGAATGATCTAGGCATAGAAGCCATGTACTGACCTCCACTTGGTGAAGGCTCGCCTGACATCAAGCTCTCCTGAAACAGGGTCCACTAGCGGGTGGAAGACTGGGATATCAAACACCACTCTCTAAATGGTGGTACAGGAGAGAACATAGTACTGGTTAGAATACTGCATAAATACCTAAACACAGCATTTCAATGTACCACCATATGATAGTCACTAAACCAATCAGTCTCAGCCTTTGGCACAAAAGCAGGAGATGCTGAACAAATTAAGTTTTGTAATGTACCAAATAAATGGCTTTATTTTGTGTAAACAGCTGTGTCGTAGTGTTACAGCAGGTCCACTAAAGTACTCACAGGACATTCACCATCAGGATAGTTATCTGGAATATACACAGTGAACTTGAAGACTCCATCCTGGTACAAGCCATGTCTTATGAAAATGACCCCGAACCACACTGGAAAAAAAGATTACATCTCAGGATCCCTTTGTTTTCATTTTGTATAGGTTATGTATAGATTATGTAGACAAACAGGAGAACAGATTAGGCTCTTACTCAATGCTGATTTGTAGGATGGCTGCACATAGATTCCAGGCAGTTTTTGCTTGATCACTAGCGTGCTGTGGGTCACAAAGAGTAACATGGAATTAAATCAATGCAGCAGAAAATTGATATGGAAATTAACAGTGTGTTTTAGTCAACAGCTTCTCTAAATGGACTACATAACATAGTGGCCTCTGTTCAAATACATTGAAGATGCAGCCTTCTTGCTTCCTTCCAGGTAGGCTGATCAATGATCTGACATGTTTGGATTGATTAAAACAAATCTTACCTTTACTTATCCAGTCGCATACAGATAAGTGATTACCTCTATAAAAGGAGGGAGGGTGCATTTTAAAGGTATTCAGACAGAGCCAGTGTATGTAATACATCCACTACCCAAAATAAAGTCTGATCTGTGGCCAGTACTTACAACTCAGCCAGCAGTGAGTACTCCAGGTAGAATGGACCGTAGGAGGCGTGTGTGCCATTGGCCAACTGGGCCGTGGCGGCAGGAGAGGCAGGCTTGGTGATGGGGACTGCATTCTTAGGGATGGAGGGAAGCTGCTTCTTCCCAAAGCTAGGCCGGGCTGGACTGGCTCTTTGCTGCTGCTCTCCACTCTGCTGTCCACTCTGTTCCTCACCGTCAGATCTCTGCTCACCAGAAGAGAGTGAACAAAAGGAATTTAACAACTCATGTCTAGGAAGTACAAACTGGTAGCATTGATTATTCCAAGGGGGGGGGGGGGGGGGGGGGGGGGGAGTATGCCTAGATTAAAAACACTGAGTCAAACATCTATTCACCATATGTTGTGGAATCACAAGACACAGGTAGACAATGCAGACAATGCAATTTCAAGCAAGTCTATGTTAGTTACATCTATGTGCCTAGACAGAGGCTACCTCTGTTGTCGAACTACAAGGCAACACAGACAGCAGTGGGAGCACGTAGAGCCCTGGGCGATAGGCATAAGGTGACGACCTCAGGTTTCAGAGATCGTCTCGTCTGGCATCAGTTTCCTCATTCCACGGGAGGCGAGAGAGCACCCAGAGAGCATCCCTAAATACAGGCCGCATCATATCCTGCCAATGACAGCTTTGTGGGAAGCACAGGGGAGGAGAATGGGCTAGTTCACAGCAGGAGGGATGCCAGTAAGTTAAGGAACGCATCAGCAACAAACCCTCAAGGCCTGTCCCTCTGCGACTAACGCAACTATGGAAAGAATTCAGGTAGCGCACAGCGAGTGCGATAAAGCAAAACACATTGTAGAATTATTAATGTTTTTAGGAGGCACAGAGCAATGAGTGAACCGGTCATCTGACAAGGCAGAGAGTATTCACACCTATTTACTATGGGCAGAGCTACTTTTCCAATGTGACGCCTGAATGCTAAACTGGAAGTCGGTGCCTCCCTTTCTCGCAGTAGTCGTTGAGGTAGGTAACAGACTGAATGGCAATAACAAACAGCAGATGCACAGCACAAGAGCTTTTCAACCAACCAGATCCTAGCAATTAGCAAATCTAAAACAAATGCACTGCACATTTGAGAAGTTCACCATTGCTCTCATCAAACTACAGTTTAACACCTACATTCAAGTGGATTTCCCAGGAGCAACAGGCTCCTCCTGCAACAACCATGCATGTGTTGTGACAAGTCACATGTCTGACTATAGCTGCAACTTCCAGAGCACTAGGTGTGGAACGATACCAGTATCGCGATACTCATTAGTATAGTGGCAAGGAAACAAAACACGAAGCGGATTTAACTTCTTTAGGAAAACAGCCATAATGTTGGAAACAATCATTATGTTGTCATCTAGTCAAATAATTTTCCCCAAGCTATAGCACACAATATTTTACATACAGCAGGTTATTTAAGGACCAAAGTGTTAGCTTCGTGTTTTCATTTTGCAATGCTGGTATCGTCACAGCCCTACAGAGCACCAGGCAGTAAAAGGCGACACTGAAACAGCCCTCTTTCAGGAATTGATTGAAAAGACGTGTCACCGGCAAAGAGTTATCGAAAAGACATGAGTAGACCTAATGTGTTAGAGGACACCACACACCCCAAGTTAGACATTCCAATGCCACAATTCCGGTCCTCCAAGATTTCTCTCAAACTAAAGACAGGTGGTAACAGGAGTAAAATGACAAAGCTTCAAGGAAGTCATGCCATCTTCGCAGGAAAATGTTAGGGAGACATTTAGACCACACTAGGCTTACTTTCAGTGTGTGGGGGTCTCTTTGGGAACTTTTGAAGATCCTGTTTTTTTGTCTCCCTTCTCGGTTGTGTGTTGGGTGAACTTGAGAGAACTTGGCTTTCGGTGCAGAAGAGGAAGAGCGCTCCCTTACCTTACGACCAGTATTGGTAGACATGCTCCAGAATGGGTTCAGGTTCATTACTCATGGAGGTTCAACTTGTCCGTCTATATCGGTCCCACGACAAGTGTTGCCTGTGCCATCCGCTGGCGTCACTGGGGATAAAATTGACAACAAATGGCTGATGAGGCCCTCTGTTCAGCGTGCGCACACACACACACACAATGGGGCAACCTGACCTCAATGACAGCTGCTGGCTCTCTGATCTGCTGACCATGCTGCTGCTGCTGCTGCTGCTCAGAGAGATGTGCCTCATTCATGTCATGGTGATGTCAAACAGGCCTAATTTACAGTCTGCCAGGCCAAGCACTTTAAACCCACCAGGAAATAATCCTGACATTACAAACTTGAACTGGTGATAATGGTTGTTATACATGGAGGTTGAGTGTTACCCTAGCTAGATTCATTATTTTATTCGTATATTACCAAAGGGCATTTGGCTACAGCAGTTGTTGACAGCTTAATTAACTAACGTTTGCTGGCTAAGATCTCTACATAGCAAACTACTATGCCAACTAGCTTGAAAACTAGCAAGGTTGACATTGCATTCGTGTTGGTTCACGTGTTTCTATACTAACAACAACCAATTCTGCTAAATGACTTTCAACTCATAGTTAGCTATATATAGCTAGCTAGTTACTGTAGACTGTTACCAAGATACGTTCAGACAGTCAGGAGTTTGTTAGCTATAACTAATGCATCTGGACGCCAGGTTTGCAATAACAAATCCAGCACACATAGTGATAGGCGATGTAATCTAGCATTGCATATTACCCATAATGAAAGTTACACTTTACGACTCGATAAACTAATGACAATATTACTGACAACACAAATGTATCAAACCAACCAGTTCTGCTAACTTGTAAGCTAACTAGCTAGCTAACATTAGCTGCAAGATACTATCCAGTTGCCAGCTTACCTTCCCTGGAGGGGAATTCCGAAAATGCAGACAAGTACCAGTTCAAAAATCGCCCATTTATGTGAACAATTTCAAACTGTGCGTTTTAACGACGTTGTTACAATCACACTTGGTCAAAACAAAAAAAGGTCCACCGCAATTGTTTGGGTAGCTGGCTAGCTAAGTAATCTCTCAGACACCGGAAATCAATCAAAATGCTATTGATGGGCGTTTCCTATTCACCGCGGGATATTTCTATTGGCTTTTAACAAAGCGTGGCTAAAGTATCTGAAATTTGATTCGCTGACGTTCTTTCACTTTGTAGGTCATAATGTTATGTCGCGTTCAAGTGCAGGTAGAAACTAGGAAACTCGGAAATGTCCGATTGCTGTCTGGTTGAATGCGGCTGGTGTAGATGGGTTGGTTAGTTTAGCAACAAAACCGACGCGTGCGCAACAATGGGGCAAAACAGACGGGGTTGGCTTTGTTTGTTGACAACATGTAAACTCGATCTTGTCCCCAATGCTTATTTAAAACATAAATAAAGCTGCACAATGAGCACTTGTTGTCTCTCAAATACATTGTTACAGTTGTTGGTTAACATTAGTTAGCTAGCGAATTTTTGCCATATTAGCATAGACGTGACATCAGTCAAAACACGTCAAAACAAGACATGGTATCAAGAACCAGATCAAACTAGCTGAAATATATTCCCAGTGAAACCCTTTGGCTATCATCACAAAGAAAAACCCAGGTAAAGGTATCCAGAAACACTTTAATTCTGAGGTATAATGCTTGTTCAAAACAACTGGGAACTCGGAAAAAACGAGCTCCAGATTGGGAAAAATCGTTTTGAATGGTCATCTGACTAGGAATTCCAACTCGGGAACTCGGCCCTGATTCTAGAGCTCCGACATTCCACCTGAAGATCACTGACTTCATGATTTGACCTCGTATTATTCCGAGTTCACAGTTGTTTTGAACGCGGCACAACCATAGACATTAAAACCAGTAGATAGTGATAGTGCTGACGTCATCCACAATTCCTATGGAAAACTCCCGATTGCGCCATATTGCTGAATGGCACCAATGATGATGGATAAACATATACATGTACGATACATGTCTCTCCGCCCTAACCACAAAGCAGAACGGCGGGCTGTTTAGCTCCCGCCTATCCTTTCTTTGGATTGGTGGATGCATCTCATTATTGTAATCTATTTTTAAATATTTGATGAGGGTTGTTGACCTCAACCGCCTGTATTCAATGCAGAGAGAGATGATGTGCTCCTAGCCTCATTCTTGAATATGCATAGCCATCTCAAGACAACTCCGATATAAAGTGTTTTTCTAAAAGTAGCCTGGATATCACGTGTCTTACTTATATCAGTACACTGTAGCTCAGTTGGTGCTTGCAATGCCTGGGTTGTGTGTTCGATTACCAAGGGGGAGCAGTATGAAAATATATGGACTCAATACTATAAATCGCTCTGGATAAGAGCGTCTGCTAAATTTAAAAATATACACTAGTAACAACTTAAGCATTACGAAACTTATATTAGATCAAATAAAGCTCACATAGCAAATAAGCCATTCGTTTTTTGTTGTTGACCAAATTCAATACTCTCTCATTGACCTCCATACAAAAAGTCCTTGCTTGGTGGCAAAAAAACGCCACCTGCTGGAGGGAGACATATTTTCCGCCGAGTTGGGCCTCTCTCTTCCTCTTCCTCTCAGACCGCACCAAAACAACGCCACGGATCATAGTGAAAGTGGCCGTAACTAGCAAAGGTTCATGGTCAATGTAGTCGTTTTCATCCTGCCCGAGCCAGTCAACAGGGAGCCTGCTTGTAGCCTGCCGACCCGTGATTGGTCTGTGTCAGCACGTGGTCCTGTGTGACGAGAAATGCTGTAGTCAGAATGGATCATTATTTAATTCAATATCTGGATTTGTAGAATTAACTTTAAAATAATGGGGATCGAACTTGATCATAATAAACGCATTTTAGAGCCCAAAATGGCCGTATTTTTTTTTACCATTCAGGCGATCTTACTTTACATAAGCTTTCTATGACAGACCAGGGCTTTTGGAACTGCTAGGTTGCTACCAGTGACATATAAACTCAACAAAAAAAGAAACATCCTCTCACTGTCAACTGCATTTATTTTCAGAAAACTTAACATGTGTAAATATGTGTATGAACATAACAAGATTGAACAACTGAGACATAAACTGAACAAGTTCCACAGACATGTGACTAACAGAAATAATGTGTCCCTGAACAAAGAGTAACAGTCATTATCTGGTGTGGCCACCAGCTGCATTAAGTACTGCAGTGCATCTCCTCCTCATGGACTGCACCAGATTTGCCAGATTATTTTGGTGTTTTTCAGAGTCAGTAGAAAGGCCTCTTTAGTGTCCTAAATTTTCATATCTGTGACCATAATTACCTACCGTCTGTAAGCTGTTACGTTCCACAGGTGCATGTTCATTAATTATTTATGGTTCATTGAACAAGCATGGGAAACAGTGTTTAAACCCTTTACAATGAAGATCTGTGAAGTTATTTGGATTTTTACAAATTATTTTTGAAAGACAGGGTCCTGAAAAAGGGATGTTTCTTTTTTTGCTGAGTTTATAAACCCTGGATTGCAGATGCTATGTTTTGGCCATGGAGAGGCTTTGAAGCTACCGGTCGGCCATAAATTGTATGTATTAAAAAATATATGTTGTAGTGGGGACAGTAACATTAGTACTTTCTAAAAATTGTACTTTAAGGAGAACAATTTAATGTTGTTTTTTCATTTTTTTATTTTATGTTTAGCTCACATAATACAATTTAAAAGTATGCATTAAGGTGTCTGTAATAGAATAAATGTGGCTAAAACATTATAGATATTACATGCATTTCTATAGCTTCCAAAATAAGTTTTACAACAGTGGGGGAGCGGCGGCGCGGTGGCTTTAAAATAGCACCCCCATCAATTTGAATAATGACTTCATTGTGATATTTGTTATGAATAAAGTATGCTTTTTTGGACCAAATTTACTTGCATCACTCTTGACCTTCTGAATAAAGATATTGTATGTTTGATTTTTTCCAAAGTGTCCACCAGAAGGAAGATTATAAGATATTTGTCTTTTACATTATAAGGTATTTTGGTATGACAATTTATGCGTCCTATGACACAGTGCTATATTTGAACCGTATAGTGTCCAGACATTGATTTTGTTAGTCACTCTCACTCAGATATTTACATTTTACATTTACGTCATTAGCAGACGCTCTTATCCAGAGCGACTTACAAATTGGTGCATTCACCTTATAGATACAGTGGGGGGAAAAAGTATTTAGTCAGCCACCAATTGTGCAAGTTCTCCCACTTAAAAAGATGAGAGAGGCCTGTAATTTTCATCATAGGTACACGTCAACTATGACAGACAAAATGAGAATTTTTTTCCCCAGAAAATCACATTGTAGGATTTTTAATGAATTTATTTGCAAATTATGGTGGAAAATAATTATTTGGTCAATAACAAAAGTTTCTCAATACTTTATTATATACCCTTTGTTGGCAATGACACAGGTCAAACGTTTTCTGTAAGTCTTCACAAGGTTTTCACACACTGTTGCCGGTATTTTGGCCCATTCCTCCATGCAGATCTCCTCTAAAGCAGTGATGTTTTGGGGCTGTCGCTGGGCAACACGGACTTTCAACTCCCTCCAAAGATTTTCTATGGGGTTGAGATCTGGAGACTGGCTAGGCCACTCCAGGACCTTGAAATGCTTCTTACGAAGCCACTCCTTTGTTGCCCGGGCGGTGTGTTTGGGATCATTGTCATGCTGAAAGACCCAGCCACGTTTCATCTTCAATGCCCTTGCTGATGGAAGGAGGTTTTCACTCAAAATCTCACGATACATGGCCCCATTCATTCTTTCCTTTACACGGATCAGTCGTCCTGGTCCCTTTGCATAAAAACAGCCCCAAAGCATGATGTTTCCACCCCCATGCTTCACAGTAGGTATGGTGTTCTTTGGATGAAACTCAGCATTCTTTGTCCTCCAAACACGACGAGTTGAGTTTTTACCAAAAAGTTATATTTTGGTTTCATCTGACCATATGACATTCTCCCAATCCTCTTCTGGATCATCCAAATGCACTCTAGCAAACTTCAAACGGGCCTGGACATGTACTGGCTTAAGCAGGGGGACACGTCTTGCACTGCAGGATTTGAGTCCCTGACGGCGTAGTGTGTTACTGATGGTAGGCTTTGTTACTTTGGTCCCAGCTCTCTGCAGGTCATTCACTAGGTCCCCCCGTGTGGTTCTGGGATTTTTGCTCACCGTTCTTGTGATCATTTTGACCCCACGGGGTGAGATCTTGCGTGGAGCCCCAGATCGAGGGAGATTATCAGTGGTCTTGTATGTCTTCCATTTCCTAATAATTGCTCCCACAGTTGATTTCTTCAAACCAAGCTGCTTACCTATTGCAGATTCAGTCTTCCCAGCCTGGTGCAGGTCTACAATTTTGTTTCTGGTGTCCTTTGACAGCTCTTTGGTCTTGGCCATAGTGGAGTTTGAGTGTGACTGTTTGAGGTTGTGGACAGGTGTCTTTTATACTGATAACAAGTTCAAACTGGTGCCATTAATACAGGTAACGAGTGGAGGACAGAGGAGCCTCTTAAAGAAGAAGTTACAGGTCTGTGAGAGCCAGAAATCTTGCTTGTTTGTAGGTGACCAAATACTTATTTTCCACCATAATTTGCAAATAAATTCATTAAAAATCCTACAATGTGAATTTCTGGATTTTTTTTTCTCAGTTTGTCTGTCATAGTTGACGTGTACCTATGATGAAAATTACAGGCCTCTCTCATCTTTTTAAGTGTGAGAACTTGCACAATTGGTGGCTGACTAAATACTTTTTCCCCCACTGTATCATATGAACATGGCATAAATCATGGCAAAATGTGTTGAATTGCAGGAAATGTGTATTAAAACTGCAATCTTTTCTAGATCTAGGAGAGATCTAGGATGGGCGTCCCCCCAATCCTTACCTTTACCATCATTGGGGAAAATGCAAAAATGACCTCAGGTCAGCGTCTAGGAGCATCTTCACCATGCCTGCACTGATGGTGATCCCCAGGGTCCAGTTTTTCAAAACTTCTGATCCAGATTCTGTAATCCTCTTTTTTGCAATCCAGGATCAGATCCATCTGGCTGTTTTTGAGATGATTTTTCAGAAAGTAATCTGATAGAATCATTCTGATATAGATACCACAATATGAAGGTCACAGAATCCAGATTTTCAGTGCTTTGAACAGGC